GTAGTGCTGGGGGCACATACAGTGCCATATTATAGCAAGCACAAGTGAAGCATGTACCACTGTCCCTTGTCTGTAATTCTCAGGTTCTTTTTGTTTTTGACAGTGTCGGGAATCAGAACCAGGGCCTCACACGTGTATGGTATTACTCTACCAGAAAGCCACATTCTGGTCCCAATGTTTATTTTAGATACCTCATGTAAGATTGTACAGTATTTATTGTTTAATGTCCTACTTATTTTACTTTTTATAATTCAGTTTGGGTTCATCAATGGATTTTCCCCCTTTTTAAAAATTATTATTAGAGTACTGGAGCACAGCAGGTAGGGCGTTTGCCTTGCACGTGACGGACCTGGATTTGATTCCTCCGCAGTATCCCGCCCACACGGCAGAACCTGGCAAGTTCCCCGTGGTGTATTCGATATGCCAAAAATAGTAACAACAAGTCTCACAATGGAGACGTTACTGGTGCCCACTCGAACAAATTGATGAACAACGGGAGGACAGTGCTACAGTGCTATTATTAGAGGGTTTGGAGGCCACACCTGACTACGTTTAGAGCTTACTACTGGCTCTGTACTCAGAGGGTGGGGGAGGGAGAGGGAGATAAGAAAAGTCCCTGCCATAGAGGCGGTGTGGAGGGGGAGGCAAAGACTGGGGACATTGGTGGTAAGGAATATACATTGGTGAAGGTATGGGTGTTTGAACATGATATGACTGAAATCCAATCATGAACAACTTTGTAACTGTGCATCTCACTGTAATTCAATTTAAAAAAATGGATCACTCCTGACAGTGCTAGGGAATCATTCAGTGCTGGGGCTCGAATCTGGGTCAGCTACATGCAAGTCCAGTTCCTTAATCTCAATACTATATCTGCAACCCCCAAATTTTATATTTTTGAAGAGTCATATTGACAGGTGTGAGGTAATTTCCCTGTAACTTTCACTTTTGTTTCCCTGATGATTGGTGATATTGAATATCTTTTCATATACATTTTGGCCATCTTTTTTTAAAAATTGTCTATTATGAGCTTCTTCCCATTTTGTTGGGTTTTTTTTGGGGGGGGAGAGGAGCATACCCAGTTTTTGCTCAGGGCTTACTCCTGGCTCTGTGTCCAGGGATCTCTCCTGGCTGGGTTCAGAGAACCATATAGGGTACCATGTATTACCCACATGCAAGGCAAGCTCCTTACCCTCTGTACTATTTCTCTGGCACCTCTTCTGCCCAATTCTTTTAAAACTAAGATTGCTGTTTTGCTTTTGAGTCGTGTGACTGCTTTTGGTTATATTTTGGATATTAACCCCTTATGAATTATATGATTTTCAATTATTTTCTTCCTTTCTGTTGGTTGACTTTTTATTTTATTGATGGTTTCCTTTGTTGTACAGAAGCGTTTTACTTTGGTGTTGTTTTACTTGGGGTTTATTTTTCAAATTTTATTTTATTAAGGCACCATGAGACACAAAGTTATTCATAGTTGATTATTTATTTATTTATTTATGGATAAACTGGTCATTTTATCTTTTTTAATTTTTTAAAAATTTTTTGAACTCTTTTTAAATTTAATTTTTATTAGTGAAACACCATGGGGTACGTTTGTAGACTTACAAACTTTCATGCTTGGGTTTCAGTTATACAATGATCGAGTACCCATCATTCCACCAGTGCCCATTCTCCACCACCAATGATCCCAGTTACCCTTTCACCCCCACCTCCACCCCATGCCCCTGCCCCGCCTCTGTAGCAGGGCATTCCCTTTTGCTCTCTCTTCCCTTTAGTGTGTTGTGGTTTGCAATAGAGGTATTGAGTGGCCATCGTGTTTGGTCTATAGTCTACTTTCAGCACGCATCTCCCATCCCGAGCGTACTGTTCCCTTTACTTGGAGTTCCCTTCTCTAAGCTGCCTTTTCCCCCAGCATGTGCTGCCGGCTTCCAAGCCATGGAGCAAACCTCCTGGTACTTATCTCAACTATTCTTGGGCATTAGCCTCCCGGTCTGTTACTTTATATTTCACAGATGAGTGCAATCTTTCTATGTCTGTCCCTCTCTTTCTGACTCATTTCACTTAGCATGATACTTTCCATGTAGAATCACTTGTATGCAAATTTCATGACTTCATCTTTTCTAACAGCTGCATAGTATTCCATTGTGTAGATCTACCAAAGTTTCTTTAACCAGTCATCTGTTCTAGGGCACTAGGATTTTTTCCAGATTTTGGCTGTTGTGAACAGTGCAGCAATAAACATACAAGTACAGATGTCATTTCGACTGTACTTTTTTGCCTCTCCAGGATATATTCCCAGGAGTGGTATTACTAGGTCAAATGGGAGCTCAATTTCTTATTTTTTTTAGGATCGTCCATAATGTTTTCCAAAAGGGCTGAACCAGTCGGCATTCACACCAGCAGTGAAGGAAGAAGAGTCCCTTTCTTCCCATATTCATGCCAACACCGATTTCTTTTGTTCTTTTGGTTGTGGGCCAGTCCCTGTGGTGTGAGATGATATCTCATTGTTGTTTTGATTTGCATCTCCCTGATGATTAGTGATGTATAGCATTTTCTCATGTGCCTTTTAGCCATTCGGATTTCTTCTTTGGGAAAGTTTCTGTTCATTTCGTCACCCCATTTTTTGATGGGGTTGGATGTTTTCTTCTTGTGGACTTTTTTACACTTACTCTCCCAGCAGCTATCTAGGAACTTCATTTTGCTATCTGCAATTATTTATATTTTTTCAAAGTTACTTTTTCTTTCACAGATATTCTATAATCTTCTATCGCTATTTCCCCCTAAATTTTATACAGGCCACATTATCACTTACATGTGAGAAAGTCAGTCTGGGAAGAGAATGTGAAAGACCAAAATTCTAGTGCTGGAACTACCCTTTCCATTTTAGGAAATGGTTCCAGCCATTTTTTTCCTATTAAACTCTCAGGTTCCTCATTATCTAAGTAAGGATAAGGTTATGATCTTTCAGAGATGTTGATTATTGTAAGGTACTGTTTATTATGGGACTGGAGCGATAGCACAGTGGGTAGAGTGTTTGCCTTGCACATGGCCGACCCGGGTTCGATTCCTCCATCCCACTCGGAGAGCCTGTCAAGCTACCAAGAGTATCCCAGCCGCACTGCAGAGCCTGGCAAGCTCCCCTTGGCGTATTCGATATGCCAAAAACAGTAACAATAAATCTCACAATGGAGATGTTACTGGTGCCTGCTTGAGCAAATCGATGAACAATGGGTGGACAGTGCTACAATTCTACTGTTTATAATGAGACTTTATAAATCTAAACCACTAGAGAAAGGTCATTGAGACATTTATATGTAGCTTCAGATTGAAGAGATGATACCCAGGAAGTCAAAAAAAGAAGTAAATGATCAGAAGCCAGCTTACTCAAAGAAGAATGGCCCTCCTGGAAAAGATTGTGACTCTGATCAAAAGGGTAAGACCTTAAGTGAGAGAAAATGATTTGGGAACAACTCCTCTGGCTTCCTGGTATATGTTCAAGTGTGACTTAGGCACGGGGGATGGATGCTGGGCATTGATTAAAGCATTGATTAAAGCACTGATTTAAATCTTGAAAATATGGCAACCTGAATGGTATTCAAATACAACTAGATTAATCTAGGAACATGTCATGCTCACAACTGAAACCCCAGTTCTGAGCTTCATGCCTGACATACAATACATACAATAGAATAACATACTATGGCAGAGATGTTATGAGAACAGATCCTCTTTCACTATTAGTGGGGATTTTGTCTTGTTCAGCCTTTACGGAAAGCAATATGCACATTTCTCAAAAAAATAAGAATTGAGCTTCGATGGGGCTGGAGCAATAGCACAGCTTGTAGGGCGTTTGCCTTGCACATGGACAACCCGGGTTCGATTCCCAGCATCCCATATGGTCCCCCAAGCACCCCCAAGAGTAATTCCTGAGTGCAGAGCCAGGGCTTAACCCCTGATCATCGCCTGGTGTGGCCCAAAGAGCAAAAAACAAAAAAAGGAAAGAAAAGATTAAACCTTGCAGTTTACTGCAACATAGATGGAAATCGAGGGTGCCATGTTAAATGAAGTATGTATGTCAAATGGGAAAAGACAAGTACCAGATAATCTCATTCATCTGTGGTATAGAAAAACAAAACAAGGGAATAGAAGGCATCATATGTAACAAATTCTTCACCCTGGATAAACTGAGATTACCAAATTGGGGCTGAGGTGGAGTTAAAAAGCAGACCAGAAGTAACATGAGGACTTTGTGAGGGCGGAGCCATAGCACAGCATATATGGCATTTGCATTGCATGTGGTTGACCCAGGCACCCTATCTGGTCTCCTGAGCCTATCAGGAGTGATCCCTGAGCACAGAGTCAGGTAAGACCTGAGCACCTCTGGGTATGACCCCAAAACAAACAAACAAAAAAACACAACATGAGGACTTCTCTAGGAGAGTACTGGGTATTTTAGTGGTGGTGAGATGTGGTAACCATACATCAAGACCAAAATCATTAACACTATTGTAAACTTGTTATCTAAACTACAATAATAGCAATAATGCACACTGAATGAAAGAAGGTATGAATGAATGCTCTGTAAATTAAAAAATTTGTATTCTGAGCCTGTCCATGAGAGGATCCTGAGACTTGAACTGGCATTTGGCATATAGTGACTATATTGATACAAGTATAACAGATCAACATCTCTGAAATGGAAAATTTGGAAAATAGTATATTCTAAAAGACCTATAGTTTCTTGGGAAGGAGGAGTCTTCATTTTTTGTGTGTGGGGGGAATACCCAGAGAGGTGCTCAGGGCTTACTCTTTGCTCTGTGCTCAGGAGTGACTCCTGGCATTGCTCAGGAGACCAAATGGGGTGTTGGGGATCAAACCCAGTTCGACTGCATGGGCAGGATAAGCACCCTACACACTGTACCATAGCTCCAACCCAGGGCTCACAAAAACTCCCCAAACCTACCCTACCCAAATTTACCAACTCTTCTCTACCTTAGGGCACAGAAGAGGGAGAAATACTTCCTGTGCCTATTCATTGCGGGAAAGAAAGTATGTAGTTGCATATGAAGAGATCAGTGATCCTGAGGAGGAGGAGGAGGAGGAGGAGGAGGAGGAAGAGGAGGAGATGGAGAAGAAGAAAGAGGAGGAGGAAAACAAGGACTAACTGTGTAAGTGACCTTTCAACGCATCCCCAAACTCCTGGAAAAAATAAAAATGGGACTGGAGAGATAGTACAACAGGTAAGGTGCTTGCCTTGCATACAGCCGACCCAGGCTCAATCCCTAGCACCCCATATAGTCTACAAGCCCACCAGGACTAATCTTTGAGTACAGAGTCAGGAGTAATCCCTGAGCACTGCCTGGTGTGGCCCTAAAACAAAATAACCTATAAAACTAAAATAGAGGAGTGGAGAGAGAAGAGAGTACAGTGGATCTGGCACTTACCTTGCACACACCCAACCTGGGTTCTATCCCTGGTGCTAATATGGTCCCCGAGCCCCACTAGGAGTAATTCCTGAACACAGATCCAGGAGTAAACCCTGAATATCTCCAGATGTGACCCACAAAGCAAAACCAAATAAAAAGGGGATGGAGAGATAATACAGAAGGCAAGGCGCTGGTGTTGCATGTGGCCAACCCCAATAAGATTCCTGGCTCGAATATGCTCCCCTGAGCACATCGAGAGGTCACTCCTCAGCACAGAGCCAGGAATAGCTCCTGAGAATCACCTAGTATATGGTCCAAACACCAAAAGAGAGAGAAAGAAAGGGGATATCTGTGGCATGAGCAGTAAGGGAGGATGCAGTCAGAGTACAGAGTCTTTAAGGTCAGTATGCAGATGTGGGTACTAACTGAACAGGTGATTAGAGCTCACAGCCACTTATGTTTCTTCTCTCTCCTCTTAGCCCTCGAAAAGAATGCCTTTCATATATGCATGCAAAACTGTGAATTTCTGAACTTCAGAACAATAACAAGTGAAAGAAAGAATTTACAACACTAAGCACTATTTTCCTTTGTACAAAATGTTTTATTAATTAGTTGTTAGTTTTGATGATGAAGAATTTTATCTAACTCATGTTTCTTTATGTAACTAAGCACTTAATAGATATTCTCTGCCTAGAACAGCACTCCTTCCTCTATGTGATTATAGGCAGGGGGCAGTATTTGGTATTTAGTTTCAGGTGTTTTTCTTTGCATTTTCACACATGGGATATAGTTATGAGTATTTTCCACTTGCTTTTCCTTACCACTAGCATGTTATGGACAATTCTATCTCATTCTCTTTCAAACAGTGCTCCATGCTACAAGTGTCTGTTACTAATTGACCTGTACTTGTCACTGAAAATCAATAAACATTTACAAGTTTTTAAAATGTAGTTTTCTCCTCTCTTTCTTGGGCATAGACCTTACAGGTGTGATACTTCTTTAGCGTACATTCCTACAAATAGAAAAACTGCATCAGAAAGTTAATTCAGGAGGCTAGAGCCATAGCACAATGGGTAGGGTGTTTGCCTTGCACGCAGCCAACCCGGGTCCAATTCCCAGCTTCCCATATGGTCCCCCGAGTACCGCCAGGAGTAACCCCTGTGCATCGCTGGGTGCGACCCAAAAAGCAAAAAAAAAAAAAAGGTTAATTCATTCATTCAACAAACACCTAGTGACCACAGTTTACTTGGTGCTGTTCTAGGTGCTGAAGTAAGGGATAGTAGGGGGAGAATGAGAAGAGACAGAAAAATGTCCACAACCAGGAGTGGAACAGGAATTCTAATGGGGGAATTTTTCAGTTTTTATTTTGTATTTTTGTTGTTTTATTCAGGGGTCACATCAGGCTATGCTCAGGGATTACTCCTAGCTCTACACTCAGGGATAACTACTGGCAGGCTTCTGGGGACCATATGTGATACAAGGAATCAAACCCAGGTCAGTTGTATGCAAGGCAAGTATCTTAGCACTATGCTATCTGTCCAGCCCTTCAGTTTTTATTTCAAGAAATACTTAACAACTCAGCCCCAAAGCAGGATTCTGCAGTAAGTAGTTCACCTTTTGTCTAAGAATCAGGCCAAGGGGAATAGTACAAGGACTTAAAACATAAGTCTTGCAAGCATTTGGTATGAGTTTAAATCTCTGGTGTCCCACATGTGCCAGCTGTGATCCTGGAAACTTTGCTATTTGAGTCTAGCAACTCAACTATCCTTCACCAACCAGAGTTTCAGGCACTTTCCAACCACATTATAACCAGGTGTGTGTGAACACCACAGAAGGGGTGTGATTCCAGAAGAACATCACAACTAAAAAAGTGTGTGAAATGGCCAAGGAGATGGCTCAAAGCACTGCATGCAGATTTTCATGCATGAACCCAGGGTTCAATCCCCAGCACTGCAAGTTCCCCCAAGAACCAATTAGTGCGACCCCGAAAAACATTTTCAAAAAGTGCAAGAAGGTTGGGGGTATGGTGCCGCCAGCAGGTCAATCTATACCTGTGAGGCAAGTGCATCAGCAGCCTGATGGCGCCTTCAGACTTTCAGATACCCCAAAATTGCTGCTGGCCAGACCCCAAACACTTGGGGCAAAGTTTACCAAGAAAGTAAATGGCCAAAAGTTAGGTATGTGGGAGACACACTCACAAACCACCTTCGGCTCAGCTATATAATTGGAGGCATGGCCTCTCTGGTTCCTAATCAAACTGCTAAACAACCATGATCCCAGAGACTCAGAAAAAAATTGCAAAACCCAACAGCTTTTGGCAGAAATGCATCCAGTCCCTACAGTAGGTTACAGACGCTGGGCCACCCCAGGTGGCAATAGGTTTCGCGCCTTAGCCTGTTCCCCCTGGCGGCCCGGTGGCCGCCATCCTCCAGATGCCACTGGACAGTCAGGTTTGGGCCCACAATGACGAGACACGTGGGGCTTCACGGTGGTGCGGAGCCAGCCCTTTCCCCACACCCCAGTGAGACCTCGAGTCGCTGCCAACGAACGTCCTCTCTGGCTCCTGAACAAGCCGTTTAATGGCCATGATCCCAGAGACTCAGAAACAAATCGCAGAACCCAGTGGCTTTTGCCAGAAATGCGTCCAGTCCCTGCAGTAGGTTACTGGCGTTGGGTCACCCAGGTGGGAATAGGTTTCGTGCCTTGGCCTGTTCCTCCTGGCGGCCTGGTGGCCTGGTGGCCTGGTGGCCGCCATCCTCCAGAGGCCACTGGACAGTCAGGTTTGGGCCAACAGTGACGAGACATGCAGGGCCTCACAGGATGGGGACAGAGCCGGCCCTTTCCTCCCCATCCCAACAAGACCCTGAGTCGTTGCCCATGAGCGGCCTCTCTGTCTCCTTATCAAGTTGCTTAATGGCCATGATCCCAGAGACTCAGAAACAAATCTTGAAACCCAGCGGCTTTTGGCAGAAATGCATCCAGACACCGCAGTAGGTTACTGTCCCCGGGCCACCCCAGGAGGGAAAGGGTGCTATCCCTCCACCTGCTCCCTCTTGGCCGCCATCTGTCAGAGGCCATTGGAGAGTCAGGTTTGGGCCCTCAGTGATGAGACACGCGGGGCCTCACGGGATGTGGGTGGAGCTGGCCCTTTCTTCTCCATCCCAAGTCGCCACCCACAAACGGCCTTTCTGGCTCCTGATCAAGCTGCTTAATGTCCATGATCCAAGAGACTCAGTAACAAATCTCGGAACCCAGCAGGTTTTGGCAGAAATCCCTCCAGATTTAATTGTTAAAATTTTGGAATTTCAAAATTGTGCAGCCACTGCTACAGCCACGCGACATCATATGTTATTCATAACCAGCAATAGAAAACAAATTGTCTACTGTTGCCTTTTCAGCAGATCTGAATATTGGGGTAAAATCCCAAGTAATAATGGTGGGTCTGGTGTCAAAATATTGAATGTAACTCAATTAGAGAAAGAGTAATGTGGAAATTATCTGCCCCATAGGTAGGGGGAGGGTGTGGGTTGGGGGTAGACTTGGGTTTTGGGGGGTGGAGAATGGGCACTGGTGAAGGTACAGGTGTTTCATTGTATGACCGAGACTTAAACCCAAAAGCTTTGTAACTGCGCTCACAGTGATTCTAATAAATAAAATTATAAAAATGAAAAAAAGTAAGGTGAAGTTCATGCCCAATTCAATCAGCTAATCAGTGGCTGAATAAACAGCAGTGTTACTACATAAAAAAAGATTGAGAGTCCTCTCTCAAGTGCACCACTGCAGGCTGCAGAGAAAGTCCTGAGAAGGAACTAAAGAAGGACTTTTTAGTGAACCAAGATAATTTTTTGTAGGAGTACTGCTATTTATTCAGTCACTGATTAGCTGATAGAATTGGGCATTAACTCCACCTTAATTTTTTAATTTTATTTATTTTTTCTTTTTATATTTATTTATTGAATCACTGTGGGAAAAGTTACTAAGCTTTCAGGTTTAAGTCTCAGTCATACAATGATCAAACACCTTTCCCTTCACCAGTACTCATTTTTCACCACCAAGAACCCCAGTATACCCCCCCACCCCTCCAAATGCCTGTGAGGCAGATGATTTCTACTTAACTCTTCTCTACATTAATTACATTCACTATTTCGACAAAAGATGCACCATTATTGTTTATAATTTCCCCCCAAACAATCAGAATTGCTGAAAAGGCATTGTGAAATATTTTGTTTTCTATAGCTGGTTATGAGAATCATATAATGTCATGCAGCCATGATTTTGGATTTTTGCAAAGAGCCAGATAATTACGAGATTGGTTTCTCTGTGTCTTGTGTTATGGCCATGCCGGAGAGCCGCTCGTGGGGGGTAACTTGTGACCTCGGTAAGGCGTGAAGGATATGCCGGTACCACCCCCTTCCCATGAGACTGCAGTTGCCCCGTCACCACCGGCTCATACCTGGCTTTCCTATAAGCTCTGAGGCGGCAGCCACTTTGCTGCCAGGGGGGAAAAAGGCAGAAGGGAGCAACACCCTTTCCCTCCCGGGGAGGCATGGTGCCATAGTTTAACGCATGGTCCATTCACTTTTCTTCTGCAAGCTGCTGGGATCTGAACTAAGTCCTTTTGCCTCTCGAGCCATGGCCATGCCAGAGAGCCGCTTGTGGGGGGCAACTCATGACC